TTCTTCAGATATATTGCTCGAATTGAAGGATCACATGGTGTTCTATTTTTAATTTTATGAGGAACCTCCATAGTGTTTTCCATAGTGGCTGCACCAAGTTACATTCCCACCAATAGTGCATAAGGGTTCCCTTTTTCCACATCCTTGCCAACACTTATTTCTTGTCTTTTTGGTGAAAGCTATTCTAACGGGTGGGGGGTGATATCTCATTTGTGATTTTGATTTGCATATCCCTGATGATTAATGATGCTGAGAAGTTATTCATGTACCTGTTGGCCATCTGTATATCTTCTTTGGAAAAATATCTATTCAAATCTTCTGCTCATTTTTCAATCATATTGTTTTTGTTTTGCTATTGAGTTCTATGAGTTCTTTATATATTTAGGATATTAGCCACCTAGAGAAATATGATTTGCAAATATTTTCTCCCATTCAGTAGGTTTCATTTTGTTGATGGCTTCATTTGCTGTGCAGAAGTTTTTTAGTATGATGTAGTCTCATTTATTTTTGCTTTTGTTACTTTTCCTTTTGGTGTTAGACTCAAAAAATCATCTCTAAGACTTATGCCAAGGAGCTTACTGTCTATGTTTTCTTTTATGGCTTTTATGGTTTCAGGTCATACAATCAAGTCTTTAATCCATTTTGTGTTAATTTTTGTGAATGGTATAAGATAAGGGTGCAGTTTCATTCTTTTGCATGTGGCTGTCCAGTTTTTCCAACATCTATTGAAGAGACTGTCCTTTTCCCATTGTACAGTCTTGTCCTTTGTCCTTTGTTGCAAATTAATTGACCCATATGCATGGATTGATTTCTGGGCTCTCTATTCTGTTCCATTGATCTCTGTGTCTGTTTTTATGCCAATACTACACTGTTTCCATTACTGTAGCTTTGTAATATAGTTTGAAATCAGGGAGCATGATATCTCCAGCTTTGTTCTTCTTTCTGAAGATTGCCTTGACTATCTGAGATTGTTTTTTAGTTCCATACAAACTTTAGGATTACTTGTTTTATCTCTCTGAAAAATGCCAATGGAATTTTGACAAAGATTGCATTGAGTCTGTTGAGTAGTACTGACATTTTAACAGTATTGATTCTTTCAATCCATGAGCATGGAATATCCATTTATTGGTGTCTGTTTCAATTTCTTTCACTAATGTCTTATAGTTTTCAATATATATGTCTTTCACCTCCTTGATTAAGGGAACATAGTCCTTTTAAAAAATCATTTATATTTAAATTTATTAAAAGCATTAAGTAAGATGGATAATTATCCATCACCTATTGACTCCCATCCTCAAATAAAATTTCCTCAGTAAGACAGTGGTCTCTTGACTCTGGGCCCTTTGACTCTTGGTCCAGCAATCTGACAGTTCCATCCTTGATTTCATAGTGCAGGAAATACTTAGAGTCCTGGGATAGTTAATGATCCATGCCAAACCATTAGAACAAGTTTAGGACCCATTTAAACTTGTGGTCAGTTTGAAGAAGAACATTAAAGAAGAGATGTTTATGACTTCAGAATATAGTTCAGGCTTCACAAACCAATTCCTTGACAGAACGCCTTCCCTCTGACTTTCTGAAATAATTACTAACTTTAACTCAATGGGATATTAAAAATTGATCTCTGGTTACTGTAGCAAATTGAGAACAAAATGAAAATCATTAATCCCAGAGGCAAAGATGTCTTGAGTACAGAAACATTCCAGTGGAATATGTTACAAAAATGACTAAATGTATTTTTGTTTCAGATACCATAATTCTCTCTCTCTATCTGCTCATCCATCTACCTATACATCATCTATGTTAGAATCAGCCTCTCAATATTTAAATTATTCCTAATTTCAAAACAGACAATAAATGCTTCTTGGGTCAATAGTGCCCCAAAGGAGTGACATATCCATAGTTTTTTAGAGGGTGAGTTATTTGAATGTTTAAGGCTTAATGAAAATACAGTATAAAAATGTTAAAAACAAAAATCTAATTTTTGACACTGTATATACAATAAAATTTTTTCTTAAATTTAGTTTCATCATTTTAACAATACATTTAAGATCGATCCCGGTTGACTTTACTCACAGTAGGTGCTGAAGACTAAAATTGGTTTGTGTATATGTAGAGAGAATGCATCTCTGTGGGTGTGATAAATAAGTGATATGATTAGACATAAAAATTAGAGAATACCTGCCATTGATAATAGTGGATCACCAAGACTGACTATCAGGGACTTCCCTGGTGGCAGAGTGGTTAAGAATCCGCCTGCCAATGCAGAGGACACGGGTTTGAGCCCTGGTCTGGGAAGATCTCACATGCCATGGAGCAACTAAGCCCATGAGCCACAACTACTGAGCTTGCGCTCTAGAGCCTGCAATCCACAACTACTGAGCCCATGTGCCGCAACTACTGAAGCCCACACACCTAGAGCCCGTGCTCCGCAACAAGAGAAACTACCGCAATGAGAAGCCCTTGCACCTCAACGAAGAGTAGCCTCCACTCACCTAACTAGAGAAAGCCTGCGCACAGCAACTAAGGCCCAATGCAGCCAAAAAAAAAAAAAAAAAAGTTAAAGACTGACTATCAATACTCACTGCTTTTGCTAGGCTGAACACCACACTATTTTTTTTTTGGATGGATCAAAACCAGGAATTGGCATAATCACTGATACGATCTCAATCTTAACATTAATCTTAAAAATATATTCTGCATTGTATGGGGTAGAGTATTTAAAACAAAGAAAAGGGCTTAGGATCAGGGATAAGGGATTTTGGTCCTGTTTTGCCACTACGTGATTTCCAATGCAACTTTAGGAAAGTTGCCTTTTCTCTCTGGGATTAATCTTCCTTATCTATAAAGTGAGAAGATTGATCTTTAAGATTCCTCCCAATATTAATACTCTAGACTGAATAATTACAACCTAATTTAAAGTGCCTTAAAATATTCGAATAACTGAACTTCTAAAAAAAATAGTTATATTACTCCTTTAGGGCACCCAACAAACATTTATTTCCAAGTACAATGGATCCGTACAGTTCAATACTCTGTATCTGTGAATTTGCCTGCTCACTAAAATTTATTTGTAACCCCAAAATCAAAACTCACATTGCTTTTGTGGGCATTCATGGATATGCTCAATGTGTTGAAAAATTTGAGTCACACAATGTACATGTTCCCAGCTGAGGTCAAATAAGGCAAAGTTCTGTCTGCTTGTTTCAGCTCTCCTACTATAAAGTGCCTTTTTTTGCAATCTTTTTACTGCCACATTATTTGCTTTTTTTTTCCCACTTTTTGTTGGTGATTTCTCTGTTTCAAATTGCCCCCAAGAGCAATGCTAATGTTCCCAAGTCCAAGAAGGCTCTGATGTACCTTATGTAGAAAACACGTGTGTTAGATATGCTTTGTTCAGACATGAGTTGTAGTTTTGTTGGTGATGAGTTCAATGTTAAAGAATCAAAAATATGTATTAAATAGGGTGTCTTTTAATAAAAACACACATAAAACAAGGTTATATATTGATTGGTCGATGAAAATGTTATGACCAGAGAATTGCGGTAATCTAACCCTGTATTTCCCCTAGGAGTTTGCAAAAATGTTCTTTCCAAATATTATCCTTCTCTAAAAATTCTTTAGTAACTGTACAATACAATTTTATTTTCATATAGCTTTTCAGGTGTTCACCAAAGTATTTGATGTGACAATCATAATGTAAGGTACAGCTAAACGTTTAGGATTCCATCATTTCTGTTAATAATACTCCTCTCTGCTATTTCTAAATTTCTTCATTTTCCAACTTATTTCCACTTGAGTTGTATCTGAACAGTCCAAGATTTCATTTGATATTATAATTCTTCTAAAACATTATTTTACAGGGAACCTCCCTTCCTATAACTCAATAAAACACTTACCTTCTTTGAGTTCACATTCAGCCTGCTCAATATTCTATCTCTGGGAATGTAACAGCATCATTTTGACAGAAGCCTATCTAAACATATTAATACCCTGGAGAACATGCCTAGGAGATGGGAGCAATACAGTTTCAAAGAGTGCACTTGATTTTCCAATAAAAACTTGATACCCTATGATCTGAACCATCTGTGGACAATTTGATAAACAGATACAAGAGGAAGGGTGGAAAAAAAAAAGATGCTCTTGATATTTTACTCCTTGTGTTAACAACAGATTGCTGGAGTTACTACTTTCGAATTCTGCAAATATTGAAACTCATTTCAAACCAATACAGGCAATGGGTTTTATAATAGCTTGAATTGCAAGTTAAATAGGGAGAAATAAACCCTGTTTAACATAGAGCAATCTGTGTATGGTGGAATAATGTATTGCCATATTAATCTGCATTTTATTCTCACTGCTGTAAATAATTTTCACCTCTTTGTCTAAAGAAGATAGCAATGTTTTTGTCTTTGCTTTTCCCAGAAATGGGAAAAAACACAAGCATACCCAAAAGATCACTTCCAAACAGAACATTTGTTTTCAAAAGTCTAGGCTCATAAGAGAATATGGAACTATATTATCTAAGTAGAGGGATTTCAGGATTGGGAAAGGTAATAAATTAGCCTTTAGACAAGAAAGGTTTTGAGAGAGTTTTTCTGGAAAATGGTGGAGTAGGAGTCTGGAGAGTTCAGAAGCAATGGAGAATGATGTGCTGATCCGTAGTCTACTACCAGGGAGATGCTGGTCTCAGGTGAGATGACTGCGAGGTGTACCTGAGAAGGTCAGTGACTAGAGAATGCAGTTTCCAGCCTCAGCAAATATCTAAATGCCCTTTGATAGAGGCAGAGAAGGTGCATGTAACAGTGATGACCAGTGTGCACTGCAGACCAGAAGGCTATTCTTCAAATATTCTTCAAATATTTTGATTCTCAATAAATGCTGGAGGGAGTGTGGAGAAAAGGGAACCCTCCTACACTGTTGGTGGGAATGTAAATTGGTGCAGCCACTATGGAGAACAGTGTGGAGGTTCCTTAAAAAAAAACTACAAATAGACTTACCATATGATCCAGCAGTCCCACTCCTGGGCATATATCTGGAAAAGACAAAAATTCTAATTCAAAAACATATATGCAATGTTCATAGCAGCACTATTTACAATAGCCAAGATATGGAGGCAACCTAAATATCCACTGACAGATGAATGGATAAAGAAGATGTGGTATACAGTGGAATACTACTCAGCCATAAAAAAGAATGAAATATTGCTATTTGCAACAACATGCATGGACTTAGAGGATATTATGCTAAGTGAAGTAAGTCAGACAGAGAATGACACAGATAACACTCCACTATTTATAAAATATATAAACCACAAGGATTTACTGTATAGCACAGGAAACTATGTTCAATATCTTGTAATAACCTACAGTGGAAAATAATCTGAAAAAGAATATATATACACACACACACACACACACACACACACACACACATATAACTGAATCGCTTTGCTGTATACCTGAAACTAACACAATATTGTAAATCAACTACAGTTCAATTAAAAAAGAGACACTTTGCAGATTTAACAACAGCAACAACAAAATATTGTGACTCTCATATTACTCTAGGCTCCCTGCAAAAACATAAATTTCAATTTTGAATCAGGTAGGGAGGAGTTCTGAGTATATTGATCTGATTTTTTTAAGAAAAATAAGATCATGTTTCTTGCATTGGCTCATAGACAAAACTCATACCCATATGTTAACGCATGTAACCCTAACAACCCTGCAGTGTTGGTGCCATTAAACCTATTTTACAGATAAGGAAAGTGAGGCACAGAAAAGTCAAGTACCTTGTCTAATGTCACAGAGCTAGGAGGTAACAGAGCTGGGATTTGAACCTGAACAGCCTGGCTAGACACTCTGTGCGCCTGAATACTCCTCTCTTCTGCCTATCCTGTCATGTCCATGTCAGGCCCCTTAACTCTTTTTAAAAGTGATCTGCTACAAATAATTACTGTGCATGTGTTTTATCTCCTCTTACCTCCCTGAGGACTGGAATGCTTCTTATTCTTTGTGTTTTCCTACAGTGCCTGACACTGACCTGGGAAAAAAATGCCACTCTTACATAAATATGTAAAAATCAAGCTTGCTCACAAAACAGATCTGAATATATGTGTGCAAAGACACACACATGTGTGTATATATATATATATATATATATATATATATATATATGTATAGTCTTTAAAACACAGATGGATGGCCAGGATCCATCAGATTCAATGCAATAAATATCTATAGTAAATGTCTCAAACCATGTTAATCACATATTAAAATACATTTCCACTAAAGAATACATTGATATTTTTCATTATATGTTTCACTTCATGACATCAGAACATAGAATAAAAATGGTAATTAGACACATTTTTTAAAGCAGCGAGTAAACTAGCTCTGAAATTTATTTTGAATGCCATTTTAGAACTATTTTGAGAAAGGAATACATGATTTTTCAAGAGCATGCCACAGCTAATAGAGAGGAGCCTACTCAAATCCCCCTTCAGGCCTGAAGAACGTGTGCCCCACCTGCCAGGAGTGCTGCCAGCTGCCAGTCCTCCAAGCTGAGCCCTTGCCAGAAATTACCCTCAACTGGGGAAACCTGCCTCAAGCAGAGGTACCCAGCACACGATCACTGGTCAATGTGGGAATACAAAGGTACGGCCCTCCTTGTCACAACTTGAGACCACTTCGATGGGCCATCATAACTTCAGAGCTCCCCGTGAGATTCATCTATGGCCTTCCTTGAAACTGAATCAACACCTAACTTCTCCCTCTGCCTAATCTTATTTTCTTCCCTTTCCTTCCACCAAGTGTTGGTCCTGAGAGCCCTCCAAATAAACTTCCGCATGCTAATCTTCATGTCAGTATTTGCTTCTTGTGGAAATCAAGCTGGGACATTTCATGCATCCAATAGATGCTACATGCTAAACTGCCATCAGCCTTGTTTCTTTGGAGACATGCTCAATACATTTTTTTCCCGCTGAAGTACTTATGTAATTTAACCTAATAGAAGTAGATAAGCCATGTCCAAAGAGTCAAGAGGCTTATCTGGCCCTGCTGTGATTCCCAACATTAAAATAAGAAGATCCTCTTCTAAACAATTATTAGATCTTCATGTGATAGTATCCATTGATTGCAACTGTAGTTGCTAACACCGAGTGCTCATGAGGTATCTGGCATCATGGCAAATGATTTGCATGTATTTATCCTTTAGGCCTTATAACAACCCTGTGAGGTAGATACTATTATCAACTCACTGTACAGCAGGGCTCACAATAGTTAAATAACTTTCTCAAGGTTACAGGGTGACATAGCTTTCTGTCTGCAGCCCCTGAGTACCGCTATATTGCCTCGCCTAAATGCATAATGACAAAGAGCTATAAAGAATTCAGTAATGCATTTAAATTACTTTCCATTTTATCCACCATAAAACAGCACCTGAATTCATTTGAAATATAGTAGTACATAAGTACTATTTTTATTCAGCCCACAGACAATTTTTGGAATGCATATGCATTTGAAAACCTCCTTCAAAACCTCTGCACCTCTCATGGAGTCCTCTACGCCTCACTCAAAGGTTAGTGACCATTGCCCTAAAGAATATATATAACACTCCCATCCTATGCTCCTGATACTTAGGTTACCGACTCTACACCTGAAAAGTAGACATAAAATAGTTAAAAGCAGAAAAATGGGGGAAAGTCCAAAAGTGGCAAATGCTATCAACTCTGAAAAGCAGCAGCCCAAGGGAGGATGTAGGAAATCTTGATATGACTTGGTGCAGATTCTAACATTTACTACCATTATTGTCCCCTGAGAACCATCTTGGCGAAAGAATGTGAGCACTCCAAATCTTGAGATTTTCATTAATACCTTTAATTTTCAGAGATGTGGACTAAAGGAATAAGTAATGTAGGAAAAACAGTCAAGGCAAATTCTTAAGAGTAAGTGTCATGCCCATGATGAGTGAGCTGGAGCAAGAAAATGCCAGCAGGGACACAATTTTCCAAAGCTACATTTTAAGTTGCGTGAATTAACTGAAGGCCTAGTGTATTCTACCAGAAAAACAGGATATTCCTCCAACCAGGTGAAATACATAGTACAGGATATTTGACAACAACTCAGAAGAGAGCAAATCCTAAGTGTTTCAGTTCTTTGTCAAAGCAAACTGTAATGTCAGGAGCTGATGAATGCTTCCCCTAATCTTGCCTCTGCCCCTACTCTAAAGCAAAAAGGAGAGAAAAGAAGAGAGAAAGAGAATCATAAGGCTGACAAAAGGTAGGCAGGCTTAGAACAGTGCATGGAATCTACAGATTTCAACAAATGTCAGCCACTGATCTTTTGATAGAAAATAATGTAAATATTGCCCATTTTGACAAAACAAATATACTAATATAAATAACCTATATAAGGATGTGAGGGAAAATGGAGAAGGAAGAAATGTTCATCTGAATTTGTCCTATTCTTCATAGCAGGCAGGCATTCAGTACCATTTAAATTTGAAATCTAGAGTTTAAAGAAGTGACTGGCACATCATATTTTTTCACACTATTTTTACCTACCTTTAGGACAATCTATTAGGAACTAATATATGTTTGGGAAAGAACTAGTTATTCACTTCTGTTTATTTTCATTTGTTATAATAAAATAACTTAATACACAATTTAAAATAGAATGTATTCCATGATGCCATTTTATGAAAATCATTCTCATTCGTCTACCTACCCACCCATTCCCCTATCTATCTACTTATTTGTCTGTCTGTAGACACAAAGAAATATCTGCTATTATGTTCATTTAATGGTGATGGTGTTTATTTCTGGTTGATGAGATTATTTTCCTCTCTCCTGTGTTGCTTGAGCTTTTTTTTTTTCTTTTGCGGTACACGGGCCTCTCACCGCTGTGGCCTCTGCCGTTGCAGAGCACAGGCTCCGGACGCGCAGGCCCAGCGGCCATGGCTCACGGGCCCAGCCGCTCCGCGGCACGTGGGATCCTCCCGGACCGGGGCACGAACCCACGTCCCCTGCATCGGCAGGCGGCCTCTCAACCACTGCGCCACCAGGGAAGCCCTTGCTTGAGCTTTTTAATGATGATTAGGTATCATTCTATTAAAAATAATAAAGGTTTTCTCTTGTGGAAAATTTTAAAAGATGGCCCAAATGAGAAAAGCAAAGTCTATTTATTCAGAGCTTGCGATAGTAACCATTGCTTGTGCTTTGGCAGAGGCTCAAAGACAAGCAGAAGAATGGGCAAGCTTTCTAGTGGAAAGAAGAGAAGTCTCAGGTGTGCTCTGATTGGGGGCTTTTAGGCATGGGGAAGCTTCAGGTGGGCTAACTAGAAGTGAGGCATCCTGTGTGATTGGTTAGGGGTACCTATTTGGCTTTCTCTGGTTGGCCCTAAGTTGGAAGTGGTGACAAAAATTAGGGAAGCTGTCCGTTATTAATCAAGTCCTGGCCATTTGGGGGCTGACTGTTCCAGGAGTTATTGTGTGGCATCCCGAGTCAACCAGCTGGAATAATGGGCTGAATTCCTATAAGTCTGACTTGCAGAGAGTAGGCTGTCTTCCTGAGCTGGTTACTCTAGAAAATGGGCTGGTTTCCAGGCTGATTGCTATATATTGTGGATCAGAGTTTTCTTTCTTAAAATATCTATCCATTGTTCATTTACATATTTTGTCTTTCACTTAAAACAAGCACCATAAAAAACAATAACAGCCAAAAAAATTGTGTGAACTGTTTTTAAACAGTTCTTGGGGTTCTGTTGAGGGGCTTCAGAGACTGGCACACTGATGGATGGACCAATTAGTCCCAACTCGTGTTTGTTTTTTCCATTTTATCAATATGGCTCTTTCTAAGCTTTTGGGTTCTTCCTACAACTTTAAGAAAATATTCTTCAATTACAAAAGCTGGATAACATTCAATTATATGACCTGTACATCTGAGCTACTCTAAGGAAATACTGCAATCTGTCATGAGGTGCAACATAATATGCAACACAGGATAGTGACTCATTGTATGACTTGGGTAATGAG